ACACGACGCGTACAGAATTCAACTTCATTTTTGTTTATTATTAATATTTTATTTTACCCTCAGTCTGCATTTTACCCCTGGTCTGCAGTCTGCAGTCTGTATTTTACCCTCAGTCTGTATTTTAGCCCCGGTCTGCAGTCTGCGTTTTACACTGACCGGTATGTAATTAAAAAACGTAAAACATCTAGATCGTGGCATGACTGTTTTGTTTTTGCAATGAAAAGAAAAATCGTCTGGACATCCAAGCAGAACTCTCTAATCATGCAGCAAGAAACATTGCAAAGCGAACCACTATATCGTGACTGTATAAAACGCCTGAAGGCAACGTTTGAGTAATTTGTGTGTTTTTGATCTGTAAAGCACAAGAGAAACAAACATGTTCCTTTTTTCTTGTGCTTGTGCTTATGCTTGTTTCACTTGTGTTATGCTTATCTCACAAGTGTGCACCAGGTTTTAACAAACCTGAGAGTTATAGCTATTACATCAAATGACAAATATAAATTGATACGTATTGGGAATTCCTGGAAATTTTGGTCGAGTCCTCTCTAAGACGGAAGTCAGAGAGACCACCCACCTATGGTTAACTTATAAGTTAGCAGTGTAATTACAATGCTCATTTTCTTTATGGACCAGTTTTTCACGGAATAATAATAATGTTTTTTTTGTCTAGGCGTGTGCGTGGTGTTTCTTATCTTGGCAGCAGGAAACATGTCAAGTCTGGTTAATCTGCCTGTGCATGGTGATATTGGAAAAACTGGTGAATTGCGTATTTGGCTTGTAATTTGCTTTGCAGTCCTACTTCCTTGCTCCTGGCTTGGCACGCCCAAGGAGTTCTGGGGGATAGCTGTAGGTGCTAGTTTGGCGACGGCCGTGGCTTGTTTGATGATCTGCGTGTGTATCGGATTGGATTTGCCGACCGATTTGAAAACCGTTCAACAGCCTACTGTGAACTTCGAGAGTTTCTTTTCAGGTATGAAAACAGCGTGTCATCTTTCTTTCTTCCATTGTTCCACCTGTATTGAAATATGCCACTATTAAAAGTTAGTTTTAAAAGATGGCTCACAACAGTTTCCAGCATTGTTCAGCACTTCTTCTTTGATTGTTCAATGCTACCTCTCGTTTTTAGTTGATGCTACAATAATGGGATTGGTGAAGTTATGGCCCACAGAAGGTTACCATAGCAATGGTTTAACCCATTAGAAACACTCTTAATTTTCGCGTGAGGAAAATATTGGAATCCTGTTATACCGCAATTACAATTGAATCGGACAATAACTCAAAATGACCTAGACAATATTCTACTCTTTTATGAACCCCATATTAGCTTTTTATTTCCTCACAAGGATCTTTTTGTTCTTAATGTAATTTTTTCTACTTCACACTTTTTACTGTGTGTGTTTTAGCGATAGCGCTTTTTATTCACTATTTGTCAAAGATTGCACACTGATAATCGAAAGCTTGTAATCTTAAACTATTTAACCCAGAGAACGTTTTAAAATTTTATATATGATAAGCAAGACATTTTAAGGTGGCCTCACATACATGCTGAATTACTCTGTAATGCAAATGAGAAAACTTAACCTTGAAAAGGGCTATTGATCGCTGTTAACTGGGTTTTTGCTTAAGACAAAGATAAACATTTTCCATCATTAACCTAGCTTGTTCAAGAAGACCGTGAAACCAGGCTCCTGTTTTCTTAATATATATAATTCTTTCTCTAGCGCGAGAACTGGTGACTGTGCTGAATGACACGGAAGAATTTGAAAACGGCGGCTTTTCGTTTTCGTATAGACGGAAAACATTTATTGAAAACTGAGCTTTTCGAAAACCATGGCGTCACGATGATCATGTGATTTCCTTGACCGAGTTTTCCTCAAACACAAATCAAAATGACTGGTGATTTTTGCGCTTTAAAATCCCTCCCGCGTAGTGTGGACGGAATTTAAATTTGGGGAAAATAACTTTGTCGACAGTGATCTGTAAAGAACAGAATCATTCTGACAAAGTTCCAGCTCACGCAAGAGAAATAAAAATGCAGACGGTGTTGATGATAGGACAAGTGTACCTAAATGTTTTACAATCAAAATGTCTACGTGGTTTCAATTACTAATGTTCCTTTGTTTTGTAGCTTTTGGAACAATTCTGTTTTCCTTTGGTGGTGCCTCGACCTTCCCAACCATTCAGACAGACATGAAGAAATCCTCCAGGTTTGCGTTGTCCGTTTTCTGGGCTTATATTGGCGTAGTCAGCATGTACCTGCCTGTGACAGTGCTTGGCTTTGTGGCATACGGCAAGGACATCACCTCGAACATTCTCGACAGTGTGGGTCATAACCAGCATAATACGTCTGCAGGAATGTTAGATGTAGTGCTGGCGCTCATTACGCTTCACTTGCTGTTCAGTTTTGTGATTGTGGTAAATCCAGTGTCACAGCAGTTAGAGGAACTTTTGAGTATACCCCAAGGTGAGTAACCATGGTAACCTAGTTTAGTCAGGAGAACAGGAGTTGGCCTCTTTGGGAACGGACTCGTTGCAGAAGGAGCGCAGATCGGTGCCCTAGCTGCTGCATATCAAAGCACAGCTTTTGCACCAGTATCACTTTTGTTGTACTATCCCATGAAAATTCCTGGTTTGAAAGAGGTTTAAGTAGGGAAGGTAAATAGGGTGTGGTCAAGAAAACTGCTACTCCGCCTCTTCGCCTCGTTACTTACACACCCTGCAGTAAGTTGCTAGCTTACTTTGATAATTAAGTAACGTGCCTTTGTTAAGAAGGAGTTACCCAGATGTCTTTAAGAGTGAATGCCTACAAAAATGGACCTAAATCGCCTATCAATGGCACAAGTCGAAAAATTGATT